CACCAGCAACAAAATTGGAACGATACACGCTTCAACAACGAATTGAAATTATTACATTCACTATGAAAGACGTGAAAACCTGACAGAGATGGTTCGAAAAACTAAAATATTTTTCGGTCGTCGTGAAACGTCTTGTTGGACCGCAATACATGAAATGCTGAAAAAATCAAGAGGTTAGTTATGTGGAGATTGAAATACATGCTCGTCGCTCAAAAATTACTGAGAGTATTGCTCCTGTTGCCCAAGTGTTGAAGAAACCCCCGGTTTGGCCGTTGCACGTCTTGACATTCTTTGGAATTCAGCATTCCCCAAACGTCACTACACCGTATTTTGCATAAAGATTAAGATCTAAGGGCTTATAAAGTTCAGTTAAATCAAGAACAGAAAAGTCGTGTCTTTGCTGATTGGGTCTTTGGAATGCATGAAAATGACACGGAATTTTATCGAAAAATCATCTTCACTGATGAGGTTCATTTCCCCCTCGATGGCTACGGCAATAAGCTAAGCTGTCGCATTTGGGGCTCGGAAAGACCAAGATTTATTGTTGAAAAGCCTCTTCATCCCCAATGTTTAACTAATTGGTTCGGTTTCTGTTCCGGACGCGTTATTGAATCTTATGTTAGGTTAGGTTACAGCAGCTACTGCGTGACGTCCTATCACACAGTGGTCTGTCAGAACTCCCATAATTGTGGACATGTCACCTCTTTGTAAGGAGTACATATCTCGTGATCTCACCTTATCCCATTTCGTGCAGGTAAGCCTAGATTTGGAGGTCATTGTAGTATCATTTCACCTTATTGCAACTTGAGAAGGAGTTTACAAGTGGCAGCGTGCCTTTTGCAGTGGCGTTCTTTATCGAGAAGAATCTTACCCTTACAGCTAACTCTCGATGTCCACGTGAGAGACAGTCTGTTTTGTTTAGCTGAAAATGAAGATGTCTTTATCTCTAGACCGAGCTCCAATTTGCTTTGCAGCCTCCATGATAGCAGATATCTCCGCCTGGATAACACAGCAATGGTCCGGTAGCCTGAACGAGAGTTCCATCGAAGGGTTTTCTTAGAAGACACCTCCGCCAACTTTCCCCTTAAGCTTTCAACGCGTCGTGTATATTTCCAGTCTATCTCTTGGAGTATTGTAATAATCTGTCCATTCCGCCCTCCTGGGAACTCGCATTCTAAAGTAGTTATCAGTTACTACTATAGGACTACATCGATATGTGTAACATGATATGAAGTCATATTTACCCAATATTATCGAGTGTCCCCATACCTGGGCAGTCCATTGATTTGACGAAGTGCCGCCATTACTGCCGACTGATGTACCACCAAGTCCAGTGAAAAAATATTGAGTATCACATTTAGAGAATCACTTGACGTGCTTCTAAGTGCACCAATGAAACACATTAAGGCACTTCTTTGAAGCCCATCTTAGAGTTTAGCATTTGAAGCTTTATTTATAACTGCCCACCACACGATGGCACCGTAAAGGGGCGGTGGTCTTACTACTGAGATGTAGATCCAACCTTCATATATGGAGGGCCGTAGCTGCCTTTTCGTATCTTTGAATAATATTATCTTTCCAGTTAAGCTTCATGTCTAGGATGACTTCTAGAAATTTAGCTTTTGATCCAAGACTAAGTAGCACGCCGTGCGGTACTGATGGGTTGTTAGCAGGGATCTCGCATCTCCTTGAGAATAGAAAGAGTTCTACTTTGTTTGAGTTGACACAGAGGCCATATTGAGTAGTCCAAGGCGATTATTGAATCTTACTCTTTTGAAAATGAGACTGGAGCTATAGTTATGATGAATGGATTGCGATTTGGTTAAGAAAATTTAAAAAAAATACCGTTCTGTAATCATACCCATGCCGTTCGTTTGCCCCATATTGTTTTCCATTATTAATGATATTTCTTTACATTTAAATAAAAATCTTATTATTTATTTAAAACAAATAAAAATTATCTTTGAGTGTCTAATTATCACCTTTTATAGAAAACTATTATACTTGTATATATAGTCCTTGGTATGCTACTGATATAAACTGAAGCGGAAACAAAATGCAGTACCTGAAGTAGCTGAAAAACCGTCCCGATCCCAAAGCTAACGCTACATACAACTCATCCCGAATTCCCGACTACAGCGAAGAGACGTTCACTCCTTTTAAGGGGAGCATCATAATTCTAAAATGGCTCTAAGTTAGCTCGAGCTTACTTTACACCGCTTACGAGATGATAGCCGAGTTAACAACAATGCGCTATTCGTTTCTTCATTTTTGCTGTTTGGCGTCAATTGAAAATACCAAGTCCAGCCAGGTCATTCTCTACTTGGTCCTTCCAACGAAGTGGAGGTCTTCCTCTTCATCAGCTTTCACCGGCGGGTGCTGCATCGAAAACTTTCAAAGCTGGAGTATTCCCATCCATCCGGACCACGTGACCTAGTCAGAGTAGCCGCTGTTTCTTGATTTGCTGAACTAAATCAAACTCGTACAGCTCATTGTTCTCGAAAACTCTTAACTCCAACTCATCAGATGTTGTCATCGTCCATGCTTCCGCACCATATAGCAGGACGGGAACGATGAGAGACTTGTAGAATTTGGTTTTCATTCGCCGAGAGAGGACTTTCTTTTCCAATTGCCAACTCTGTCCAAAATAGCACCTGTTGGCAACCGTGATTCTGCGCTGGATTTCCAAACTGACGTTATTATTGGTATTAATGCTGGTTCCTAAATAGACGAAGTTATCTACGACTTCGAAATTACGACTGTCTACAGTGACGTGGGAGCCGAGTCGAGAATACAAGGACTGTTTGGGTGATGACAGCAGATATTTCGTCTTGATCTTCATCACTACTAGACCCCTTTGATTCAATTCTTTATCAAATGTGGGGAAAGCAGAACTAACGGCGCGGTTGTTGAGACTAATAATGTCAATACCACCAGGGTACGCCAGCAGCTGTACACTCTTATAAAAGATTGTACCTTCTCTATTCAGCTCGGCTAATTCGTTTTATTTTCTCTAAAATCAAATTAAAGAAGTCGCAAGGTAAGCAGTCACCCTATCTGAAACCTCGCTTGGTATCGAACAGCTCGGATAAGTCCTTGCCGATCATGATGGAGCTTTTAGTGTTGCTTAGCGTCAGTTTACACAGCGGTATAAGTTTAGCAGGGATATCGAATTCAGACATGTCGGTGTAAAGGCAGCTCCAATTCGTGCTATCGAAGGCGAAGGGTCTTTTCCAATATTTGGCGCATGGTGAATATCTGATCAGTGGTTATATACCACTTCTGAAGTCACACTGATAAGGTCCTATCAGTTTGTTGACGGTGGGCTTCAGTCTTACACATAATACGCTCGACAGGATCTTATAAGCCATATTAAGGAGGCTTATCCCATGATAATTTGCGCAGACTGTAGGGTCCCCTTTTTTATAGATTTGGCAGAGCACACCAAAAATCCGATCTTCGGGCATGCTTTCATCCGATCATATTGTGAAAAGTGGCTGATGCATGCACCTTGTCAGCTCTTCGCCGCCATGTTTGAATAATTCTGCTGGTAAGCCCTCACCTTCAGTCGCTTTTTTTTCGAACCTCTTCATAGTCAGTTAATGTCTTTTCCATCGTCATCGATTGGGGTTTCGGGCTCAACAACTCCGAATACTGCTATTCAGCAGGCTGGTGAAGTGTTGCCTCCATAAAATCAATCGGTGGCTAGATCACCTCTTTGTGTCCTACAAGCGCTAAGACGCTTTAAATTTAATTTGAAGATTTGTATAAATATTGCTAACCCAAAGTTGATCAAAGCTATGACATAAAATATTAATTAATTTCTTAGTACTATTATTTAATTTAGTCCAAGAAAAGCTATCAGGTGGTATTTGCCAATTTCGGTGATTTCTATGAGGATCTAGTGTTATCCTCATGGCGTAAACTGTTAGAGTTATATCCTGTACTTAAGACATCGCTTACTAAGCGTCAGACTTCCGTCACTGGCTAATATTTATTCATTAAAAATTAGATCGAAAAACCTCTAAATTACCTTCACTTTTAATAGAGACACATATTTTCTAACAAAACAGAACTTGTTGCCCTTATGACGTGGCAACTCGAGGTTAAATCCAAAAGAAAATTATTCAAAATCCAAATATGTATGTACGAGTATGCATAGAGTTCTGTGCTAAAAAGAAAACAGTTGACTTTCCTTATGCAACAGGTGTGTTAAGCACACATACATACATACATACATATATGTATAGTGAACTTGGAAATACAATCAATGGACAAGTAAGCGCATCCGTAATGCCAATGCCACGTGACATATTTATTTATAAATAGGCATTCATATCTTCTTTAAAATTTACGCAATTGTCCTTAAAATAAATATAATTCTCCTTAAGTTTTATAAACTCGTATGTACATATGTATGTATGTACTAAAGCTTTGAGCATGAAGTCAAAAGGTTTTAATTGACCTTGATGCGGGTAACGGGAAGTAAGAAGGTCTACATATGTTGAGCACACAACTTTTTGTTGATTTGCTCAGTTCACTTTGTTTTTTTTTCTTTTACTAAGAAGATGTCAAATGATACAACAACATTGCAGAATCTTTTGTTGACAACAGGCAACAGTTGATAATGAGAAATGGCTAAAGACACGTGCAGGTGTATGTTACACGCCTGCGTGAAAGCTCAACCGGCTTGTAGAGCTTTTGCTTCAAAAACAACTGTTGCTAATATCGTAAATATGTATATCGTAAATGTACTGGTTCTTAAGGCAATTTCATATAAAAGCTAAAACATTTGTCATAAGCCAGCAGTAACGATTCGTTCGCGTCGCGCTCTTGTTGGCTGCTGCAAGAAGAAAGCGGAAAGCAAAAGAAGGATTAAGGATTAACATAGTGATTGAGTGTTTGCGCGCCAGTTAATTTGTGTAGAAAAGAAAATAAAATAAATAAAAATTATAAATATATAAAATATATGTACAAATATTAATAGATTTTGCTGGCACGTGCTAATTTATACCGTTAAATATTAAACGCAATCAACTTCATAATTAAGTTAACAATTAAAAACTAATAATAATTGTTAACTTTTAACGGCAATTAACTTTTAAGTGTCACAATTAATTGCTTGGATATGTTTGCGCTAATCACACTTTTGGTGCCACTAATTTCCTTGGTGAATTCACAAAACGACACAGAATCGCGTTTAGCATCAGCTCTCGGCAATAATGACGCTTCTAATGGCGTTGGCAGCAAGTGCGGCGATACTCAACGCATGGTGGATGAGTGTTTTAAGGACTTACCGCCACATTTGATGGAATTCCTGCAAAGCACAAAAATTGCCATCAACGAACGCGATATTTCATCCAAGTGCACGTAAGTAAGCGTGAATGTGGAAATTTTTTGAAATGCAAACAGCACAACACTTGTCGGTACATATTCGTACATACATATGTGTTTAATACGGATTTTTGTTGCTCGCTTATTTTTGGTTTATGTCAATTTTCGAATATCTCTGCGGTTGTAAGACCAAAATGAAGCGTTGAACATCATATATAAATATAAATGTACGAGTAAATGAAGTGATTTTCATGCCAACTTGAACATATGGAGGGACATGCAGTTTATGCTAAGCCAACTACGAATGTCAGTTGGGGTTTTATGAGAGTCCTTCCTTTTCAAGTCAGCAATACACTCCGTGGGCTTAACATGCCCTGCTAAGCGCTGACCCAAAAAAAAATAATAATAATTAATTGAGTGCAAAATTAATTTTCAATATTTTTTGCAATAGTTGCACGCCACGCTAACCACTCGGCCAGTACGCCAATCATTATACCACGCAACTGTAGTTTGCTCACTCATATTTCGGTCTATAAATACATTTCAGTGTAAATTTAAGTTTACATTTTTAATTTCCTCTCACTGAAAGCAATTTCTTGAAACATTTTTTAAACTAAATTTGCACAATTTATTAAACAAATTATCGATATTTTTAAATAAGTATTTATTGTACTTCAAATTTCGAGAATATCTGCCTTCCGAAACGTCCATTTTTAGTTTCGAAGGAAATGGTTTTATTTCATCAATAAATATTTTGCTTTGAATTATTATTATTTATTTTTAAATAAAAAAAATTTGAAAATGTGGTAAAATTATTGGACTTTAAAAATGTGTCTATAATGTAGTGCCGACACTTGAAATCCCGAAATACACAACTCAGAAACGACACAATCCAGTGGAAAAATTTCGACAAAATAAAAAAGTAATTGGAACGAGTCTGACAATTTCTATAGATTTAATTTTTTTTTGTATTAAAAAACCTGTTTAAAAATCTTATATACGAGTACATACAAACATATATACTTTGTTAATTTGAGTTGTGTGTCGATATATTTTTCCGAAAATTTTCAATATGGACTAATAAGTGATCTTGAGCAACTTGGTTTTTTAATGATTTGCTAATTTCGAATAACATTTATATGTATATCTAACTTATTTTACAAGTATTGAGTACTAATTTTCTCCTACAATCTGCCGGTTGTCAATAATAAGGAAATTATACTCAAATTTCTAATTTTGAATGCAACATTTTATAATGTTCGAATCGGGCCGTTTATTAAAGATCGTGATTTTTTTCTCTGGATTTTAAAAGTCAAAATTATCGGGAGCTCACTCTAAAAATAAACGAAAGTGGAACAAATTCATTAAAATTAAATTCAATTTATTTGAAAATCGTTATTTCTCCTCATCACAGAAGGTGATTTTTTCAACCCTCCGATATTAATTGAGCTTACTAATTAAGCAGCATTTTTCATAATTCAACCCTAAAAAATATTAAATTGTGGAAAACAATTTAAGTTTAAAATGCAAATATCGCGTCACAAGTATACATATATATATGTACGTGCCTCTTCAGTGTTTGTCTGCTACTTTAAATCCACATTGTACTACACAAAGTTATCTTGAAATGGGATGGGATAAAATCAAGAATGAATTTAAAAGGTAACACATTTTTGGAATGCGAACATTTTTTTGAATTGCGTGCAATCAAAGGATTACGGCGGATCAGGCGCAGGCGTTTGAAATTGTTTTGGAATGCTTTTCAGAAATATTCTACATTCGACTTGATAAACACATATGTATTAGTATATATATATTAATATATATTGGTCAAGTAGAAGCTTCATTCGGTTTTTACCTAAGAGATGGCGTTATTGTCCCTAGTACTGGTATTACGTGTCGCATCATGTCATACTATATGGCGCTAAAAACGTGTTTATTCGCGCTCAAAGTTTGTCTTTGGCAGTTTTCCGATTGATTGACTCAGTACGTTGTGAGCGCTCTAAAAAGATAACCTCCAGCAAAGAGAAAATTCTCTTTATTTTAAAATTTTTCTTCGGTCAAGGCAAAAAAGCAGCCAAAGCGGCTGAAAAAATTTAGTTAGTTTATGGGCCCGATACAGTAAACGAACGTGTTGCACAAAAGTGGTTTGCTAGGTTCCGTTCCGGTAATCTCGATATCAAAGATGCACCACGCGTCGGGAGGCCTGTCGTCGAAAACTGCGATAAAATCATGGAAATAGTGGCTGAGGAACTAAAGATAAGCCAGAAAAGCGTTTGAAACCATTTGCATAACCTTGGCTTCAAAAAGAAGCTCGAGGTTTGAGTGTCACACGAATTAACGCAAAAAAAAATGATGAACGAATTTCCATCTGCGAATCGCTGATGAATCGCAACAAATTCGACCCGTTTCTGAAGCGGATTGTGACTGGCGCTGAGAAATGGGCCACTCAAAGCTCGGGGAAGCGGTCCAGACGGTGGCCAAGACCGTATTGACGTCCACGAAAGTTTTGCTGTGTGTTCAGTGGGATTGGCAAGGAATCATCTACTACGAGCTGCTCCTCTATGGCCAAACGCTCTATTCGGCCTTTTACTACCAACAAATGGACCGCTTGAAGGCAGCACTCATCCAGAAGAGACCATCTTTGATCAACAGATGCCGAATTTGTTCCTTCAGGACAACGCCAGGTCACACACGTCTTTGTTGACGCGCCAGAAGTTCCAGGAGCTCGGATGGGATGCACCCAACTTAAAGTCCGGACCTGGCACCAAGTGATTACTATCTTTTCACGTCCATGGCGCTTAATGGTGAGAAGGTGATCTCAAAAGAGGCCTGGGAAAATTGGCTCACTCCAAGTTTTTAGACGATAGGGACGCAGCCTTATACGAGAGGGTTGGCATCTCGTTGGCAACAACTTTACGAACAAAACGGCGCATATTTGTATATTTGTACACAAAGTTATCATATTTTGCAAAATCAATAAAAAAAGCACGAACGAACTTTTTACTTTACCTAATACGTACGAGTATGTACACAGATAGGTGTTTGCTAATGTAGAAATAAATAGATATATTTCCAAATTATCAAAGGATATAAGGCTAAATTTGTTTGTGAAAAAATAGCAAATAAACTAAGCTGCCTTATATTAGGCAGAAAATATTTAAGCTTTGGAAATTTTTCATATTTCAAGGATTATATGCACATTGTAGCTCAACTGACAGCCTGCCAGCTCGTTCTCTACCTTTTCGAATTAATAATGTGCTCGTATGTATATAAGTAGTTATGGGTTATACAAAATGTCTTCGCGGATTTTTTTTTTTAATGATTTTGAATAAAATTTTGCTTAACTAAAAATTAGTTTTAATCAAATACAAATTCATAATTATTATAAACAAAATTCCGCATGGAATTTGAAAATGTATTGAAAAGGCTATAAGTTAATTTTTTAAGATATTTAATTTCTAGTAATACATAAAATATTATATGAAATTTTTTGCGATTTATATTTTATTTATTTATAGCGTGAAAATAAAGTAAAATAATTATTTTCATAATTTTATTTTTATGTTTTTTTTGTGGTATTTCTCTATAGAAAATATATTATTTTTTTTTTCGTGAGGTATTAGAATCGCCAGACTACTTTGGAGTACTCCATATACAACTCGGCATGGGAGCAGCAACATTATCTATGCTGGAATAAATACAGATTGTTCTTGAAAATGACCAGTTAGTATACGAGCCTCGATTATATTTCAACTGTCAATTGGTGCCAAACGCATAATCTTATGTGATTTATAATACGCAATAACATAATTGGCAATTCAACTATTGATTTCAATATGTGAGTTGTGAGATCTAGAGGTTTTAGTGTTCAAGAAATCTAGCGGATAACGAATTACTTTGTCTATGTGAATTATCATGAATACTATCAATGCTTGGATATATAACGGGTGATTTTTTTAAGAGCTATAGGAATGTTAAAAAACAAAAAAAAAAATCATAAAATTCAGAAAAGCGCATAAAATCTTTATTTGAGTCGATTGTACGGTCCATATAATTTAATGTTTGAGGATTATTTCATGCAAATATTGACCGTGACTGCGCCTCAAATGGTCCATCCGTTTAGTCCAATTTTGGCATACTCTTTCCAACATTTCGGCCGGTATCTCACGAATAAATACTTCAAGGTTGTCTTTCAATGCGTCAATTAAAGCGGGATGTATAGACAATACATTTAACATAGCCCCACAAAAAAATAGTCTAAAGGGGTTAGGTCGCAGGATCTAGGTCCTGAATGTGAAATAAAATGTTCGCCGAGCTATGCGTGCTGTGTGGCATGGGGCGCCGTCTTGTTGACACCACTTGCCATGCAAGTCAAGCGCGATCATTTTGGGCTAAAAATAAGTTTGATATCATCTCAGGGTAGCGCTCACCATTCACAGTGAAGTTACGATTTCCATCATCTTTTAAGAAGTACGGCCCAATGATGCCAACAGCCCATAAATCACACGAAGCTGTGACTTTTTCTAGATGCATTGGTAGCTCTTGCGAGGCTTCTGGCTGATCTTCACTCTAAAATTGACAATTCTGCTTATTACGCACCCATTAAGCCAAAACAGAGCTTCGACGCTGAACACATTTTTTTGTTAGAATTCTCCTAATAGAGCACGTATTTTGGCAATAAAATAGTTGCAAGCGTTGTTCGTTTGTAAAACGATTCATGGTCGAATTATAGACCAGACTAAAGATGTTTAACAGCGATACAAAACACGAAAGGTGCGTCAGCTGTTCAAACCAGTGTTGCCAAAAAGATAATATCTAAAAAATCACCCTTTACCAGCTATGAGTTCTTCGACAGCCTAAACAATTGCTTCTAGTGCTGCAGAAACAATTATGTTTTTATTCAGTTCCGGGAAATCAACATCTCCTATTTCAGCAATAGCTGTGAGCGCTATCCGAGCAGTAGCAACTCTTCTTTAATATTTTTGGTTAGGCTTAAAGCGAAGAGATAAATCAGCCTTCAGAGCAACGTCAAG